TTAGGATGTTTAATTCAAATATATCCTATGAATTACACTCAAGATATAGATCGTTGGACGACTGAGATAAACAAAGAAAGAGAGATTAAGAGTGGGATAAAGAGCACAGTAACACAAGTTTTGTGAGTCGATTTAGTTATCCATTATTTAAGAAATAATCACTTATGTATAGGCCCCAGAGGTAAATGGTATAAAATTACATGTATGTCCCTATTTTAATAAGGACATAACAAATTATTATTACACTTTTTCACATTTGTAACTGACTTTGGTTCCCTTTCATATTCATAACTGATGTTGGGGACATTTGATATTCATAATTACTTGAAAGGGGTCATTTAATGATCTGTTACCCGTGTCAGTTGATCGGCTTACACTTTTGGTAGTCGGCATACTCTCGGTCGGTTGAAAGGTCATCGATCGTCCTTCTCATTGAAATCTTAAGGAGAGACCTTCTTGTCTTAAGGGTGAACTTAAACTGTTAGACAGAGGATGTATCACTATAATCTGATGAACAACACTCCGTTTACAAAAGACCTTCTCAGAGGATTAGAAAGATATTCTATGGTGTGCCCTTTGGTCTCCTTTATGGAGAGTTATGGAATCAGTTGAGAGACCTAGTTATTAATGAATGCCTCTTGGATTAGGTGCTACTTGTTCATTCGTTTGGCTTTGCTTTCGTTTGGTTGCCCAATAGTTTCGATCAAAGGAAACGACGCTTGTCATTTCTATCTTTTGACTATCTGGATGCAGTCTTTTAGTGTCCATTAAGCAAAACCTGTTGTATTTCTTGAAGATTCGTGCGATCATATTTCTGATATGCACACACACACACACAAACACACACGTATATCTAAAATTTTACGTGCATTAAACAGTTTATATGTTGTTACGTATCTAGCACCTAAATTTTGATATTTAAATTTATGGCCCTTAGGCGTCATTAACCAAGGCATTAAAAAATCTAAAATATCAAAAAAAAAAATTACAACATATAAAAGTTACTTTAAATACTTATGACCCATTTGACATCACTTTTAATTTTTATTTTTGTTTTTTATTTTTTACTTTTGCTTTTAAAAACATGTTTGATTAGTATCATTTTTATATGTTTTTTCTATATTTTTTTGAAAAATAAATCATCTCATTTTTAAAACACTCAAAACACCTAAAAGATGTTTTGAGTGCTTTTAAAAAAAAATCACCACAACCAAACATGCTTTTAATTCAAATCAAAACATAAATAAAATTAAATATAAATATAAATAGAAAATTAAAAAAAACAAAAGTGATCCCAAAGAAAATATTATATTTGCCCATGCTTTTGAATCCAAGCCATTTGAAAGTTTTTATTTTTATTTTTATTTAAAAAAAAAATTTGCAATTATCTTATCCATCCAACTTGAAAATTTAGGTGAATCAAATTGATAATTAAATGACTTTAGAAATTTTCAAAATAATGTAGAACATTAATTTTAATAATGCCAAACATAATAAAAGTTGGAGAAAATGATATTATCAAAATCAAATTAAAGTGATATTAAAACCAAATTAAATTAGACCTAATCATTGGAAAGGCAAGGCTTCATTGAATCCACCAACATATACTTTGCTTGAATATGATTTTAAGAAGAAACTATGTCTATACTTAAAACGAATATATCTAGCTCCTAAACTAATATAATCAACACATTTATTTTGTAAAGAGAGAGAGAGAGAGAATGTTTCTCTAATTTGAACTAGAAGATCATTAAATCACAATGAAAGTGACATAACTAGTGTCCCTGGCCCGCCCATTAGCATCCAATTTATTTAATCATTTTTTTTTAATACAAAATGATTGTGACGCCCATAATGTTGTTTCCTTAATTAACAGGGACATTCCACCATCCATCAAAAAAATAAAAAATAAAAGATAAAAACTAGTGATTTAATTCAGGTTTAAGTATTAATTTGTCAGTTGGATTAGAGAGTCAAGTAAATCAGTCACATCATCAATAAAACAATGGTGGGTTGGCCACTTTGAGGAGCCCACACATTGACATGGATGATAGAGACAAGGCTATCTTAAATCATTCATGATTGGATTTTTTTTTCCCAGTAATGTTTCGCCAAAAGAACTCTCTCCCAATGAGCACTTGACAGCATGTCATTATGTCATTGGATTAAAAATCACTTGAGATTAAGTTTAAGTTGGATCAAAATTAACAAAAGTTCTTTCAGATTTAATCTTGGGTGTATGGCCAAAAATTCATTAATCAAATCTAAATTCAAAGGAATCATATAAAATTAAAAATAAGAAAATCTCTTGTTAAATCGGTTGACAAGAAGAGACGGAAACTTATACAAGCACTTAGGATCTGTTTAGTTCGGCGGGAGGAGCGCAACACGAGGTGTGGTCGTGAATTGCGGTCGTTTGGTTCGGTGGGAGTATCGCGGCGGACGCCGTTTTGGCGAAACACGGGATGCAGATCGAACCCCGCTGCCCACGTTCGAGCGAGCATCTTTACCTGCGTTGCCCCTTCTTGTTTGAGCGATGCTTCGCCTCTGACAGGAGGATTGTAGGTTTAGGGTAGTATGATTTTCAGGGATGGATTGAGAGGAAGTGCGCCTCCTGCATCGACGGCAAAACTGGCTTGACTGCTCTGACACCGACGACATACTAGTTCCCACGGCTCAGTGATGCACCAATGTTCGAAGAGTTGAAGGTGGATCTCCCTTCGTCGCTGCTCAGTGTCAATCCTCCTCTCAACCGGTTCCTTTCCATTGCCCCATCTTTGTCGGCCTCCCTCGACTGGTTTCTTCAGCTGATTTGATCATGTGAGCGGACGGAAGGAATCTAATACTTAATTTTTGCTTTTGTTTTTACAGTACGCTTTAGATTTACACTTTTGTGTTTCTTTGATTCAATTTTGGTTGTTATCACTTGGATGTCATTGGAGCGTGGTATTTTTTGCGATTTGCATGCTCATGGGAGTTTTATTTTGACAGATCTCTTAATTTGTGGTGAGTTTTTCTATTTTTCTTTGTCTACATATTGTTTCAATTCTTCTTTTTGTGTGGCAGTTTTTGATTTTGGTGGTATTGTACTTGTAACTATAATCTTGGTGAAAATAGGTGTTTATGAACTTGTTTCATTGTTCTACCAATTAGTTCTATCATAAAATAATCTAAGATGTATATGTTTATAAGTACTACCAAAATGAAACTTAAATATTATTCTAAGCACTATTATTTGAATAAGATTATTGTTGGATAACTGATTAATTCAATAATTTATTAATATTATCAAATTACAAACAAAATTACTAAAAATGACCAGAATGATCACTTACTCAGAAACAGTTATCGCACAATTGTTTTCATGGCTGCAACTACGGCTCTTAAAAAAGCTCGTTGGTCGCGAACAGTTCATATTTGGCTCGTCAATGAATTCGTGTTCAATTCTTTCGATAAGTAAACGAGATGAACGTGAACAAATTTTTTTGTTCGGTTAGTTAAACAAATCGAACACAAATAGTTATGTGTTCGTTCGTGTTCAAATCGTTATTATTTGAAATATAAAATAATTATATATATATATAATTTATGATATTTTAAAAAATTAAATTTTATAAATTATAATATATAATAAATTAATAATAATAACATATTAATACATTATATTAGTAATATACTAATATAGATATTATATATTTATATAATATAAGTTATAAAATTAAAATAATATATTATTTATATATATTAATATTAGGGATGTCAAGCTGGCTCGTTATTCGCGAACAGCTCGTATTCGACTCATTCGTTAAGAAACGAACACGAACAGTGATTTCGCGAACAATTTCGAAAACGACCTTATTTCAAACAAACTAAATTTCAAACGAACCGAACACGAACAAAACTTTGTTTGTTAGTGTTCGGTTCGTTTACACCCCTAGTTGCAACAAACAACCGGTCAACCTCCCTACAACAGCTTCCTAGGACATCTAATCAGCAGCTAAAAAACTAAAAAGCTACAGCTACCCAAAATAAACCCTTGGGCTTCGTTGGCCTATCGGTGAAGCTTTGCTTCATTAGTGCAAAGCCAACGCCTCAAAAATTTTGCTTGTTAAACCCGACCCCGCGAATCACTCGGGGTCAACTTTATAAGTGAGTTTTGAAGGAACTTTGCCGACAAACACATTCTTTCTTGAAAATCAAACTACAGTTTTTTATTAGAGTTTTTATTTCTAAATAAATAAGAGTTTTTAAGAAGAGGAAATTTTATTAAATTATCTAATATATTAAGGTAAATATATATTTTTTAGTTAAATTGGTTGACACGTAGAGGCAGTTTTCTTTTTTTCTTTTTTTCTTTTTTTCTTTTTTTTTTTTTTTTTTTTTTTTTTTTTTTTTTTTTTTTTTGGTGGATAGACGCATCATTGGCAATCAAATTATTGTTTTTTTATGAGTTTTTAGCCTTTTTTTTCAAGTATTATATAAAACAGGGTTATTAAGGTGAGGGAAATTTGATTAAACTGTTTTCATAATTAAATGAAATCTTACTATTACTAGAGAACATTAACGATAAATATTTGAAACTTGGACTAGTTAAGATAGTCTACTATATTTTGCAAAATGTGAATTCTAGACACAAATAACCTCCAAAATTAATTCACAAAGTATGATGGCTACAAAACAATGGCAGCCAAATTATAATGTGGGAATATTTACATGAAAACTCTCCATTGCAAAGCCATAATGTAGAAAAAAATACAAGTGTTCCATTAAAAGGGAAACCTGAAGGCCATTCTTTTCTTGCAGCTCAAAAAATATAGAATAAAACAGAGAATAAAAGGTCCAGCATGTAAAGGGACAAAGTAGATAAAAAGAAAGTATCCCATTAAAAGGATGACCAAAAGGACATTCTTGCAGCTCAGAAAAAAGTAGCACGTACAGGTTAGAATTGATGTTTCAAAATTAATATCTAAATTTAAATTATAACCTTTACTATTTAAGGATTAAAGTTCATGACAACTACTTTCTATGATTAAAACATAATCAGTTGACATGTCCGACAAATCTGTGACTTTGATCGAGTTTCTAAACGTAGTAAAAATACTATATGATTAGCCTTTTATGGAGTGATAATCAGCTCTGAGTTGCTTATTTCCGGATGTAATGAAATGCTATTGTGGAAGTTGTTTTCGTGCAGAAATACATTCATTTGTTGAACTCATAATGAGATATTAAGGGGGAAAAAAAAAGAGCTTGAACAATTTGTGGAAAACAGAAAAAAAAAAAAAAAAAACAAATTATGGTCACAGAAGTTAGCACATATTAAAGACATCAGCACTGGCAAAACAATGACTGAATCAATAAGTGGGTCCATCGCTACCTGGCAACGAGCACCTCCTAAGGCATGGTTGCCCAATCTTCTTCCAGGAAAACATGACCTTGTAGAAGAACAGCAGAGATAAGTAACACGTAGAAAAGAGTATGCCTTCAAAATACAACGATTATGAACAAAACACCCAAAACAATGATATTTATAAATCAAACACCCAAGTGATTTTTTGAACTACTGAACTGATTCATTTACACATGTCATAATCACACCATTGAGAGTTCGATAAAAACGAAAAATAAGAGTTGGGGTTTTATCAAGAATTTTGATATTTGGGTGAGAATTTGAAAAATGGATGAAAGAGGGCACTTTGATTTGTATTCAGCATGTTTCGGGTGCTCTGTATGTAACTGCACGAATTTTCAATTGCATGGTATAATCGTAAATATGCTCCATGCCAGGTTTAAAGTTTGGTAGGTTGAATTCAACTTCGGTTGAATTGAGATGAGTTGATAAGATTTTTTACTTTAGGGAGTTTCGAGTTGCAGCTTAAAATTGAACAGTTTCAACACAATTTCAAACCAAAAATACATATGTAAGTTTTACCAGAAACTCAATTTTTAATAATGTGTTTGTTGAACTAGGTTGACCGTCGAAATTGAAGCGACAAAACAGCGTGATAGAATTTTATTAAACTACGTTGACAGTCAAAATTGAGTGTGACAAATAAATAAATTATGAAGTAAGAGAGCTCTGTAGATCATAAAAGGCAGCATGGATGGAGACTTGGAGCCAAGAAATAGTTGCAATGGGAAAGAAATACTAAGATAAGCATAAAGATGATTAGAAGTGAACACAAAAGAGATATGGAAGGTGAACTGGTGAAAGACTGAATTAAATCAGAATTAACATCAAGGCAGATACAATTTAAAATTTGTCATGACAACTACAGAAGCTCGTGCATATTGTATTTAATTTGTGACACCATCAATTAAGAGATAATCACAAATCATTCAACAATATAAATTTTTTTCTTATAAACCCTAAAATTATACTCACAAAATAGTTAAACAGCCGGTTGATAAGCAACCGCTACTGCTATGAGCCTGCGTCAAGTTCCTATGAAGGAATAAAAAAACTGCTATATCAAGGAGGACGAAGGGTTATTTAATGCTATGAGACTCTTCATAACAATGATTAGATTAATTAAACAGGTTTATTTAAAAAAAAAACTAATCCATAACCCTAAACAAACCAAGACAAAGAAGTTGGACTTCGAGCCAGTCAAGCTTGCACTCAAGGGCTGGACTATGCGAAGCAGTTGCTTCGCACATAGTTCACGCATTTCTCAATCTGTTGCTCCTAATTCCTAAGTTGTCATGCATTTTATCTTAAAAAACTCTCATTCAATTTTATTCAATTTGGAACGTACAAAAAACTTCATGCCATTAATAAGAACAGCTGAGCCTATCTAATTAGTTCAGGTTAATAATGAATATACATTTATGACATCATAATAAAATAATATTCTTATATAGCCACATTTTCAAATTTTACATTCAAATTACCCATGCAAATGTAGAATGCTGAGCTTTTAAATCTTATCAGGGGATGAGACTTGGATTGACTGTTTCAGAGGTTTCAAAAATGAAAGAAGAATAAGATGTTTCGTATTAATGAATTCAAAGCATCAAATTAAAGCAGATTAGCAAACTATACCATGAATGGCATTACTGAAGATGACCGTGCTGTCATTGAAAATGCAGAAACCAATGGGTGGGACACTTGATGAATGAAATGAATAACCAAACACCTCATTGGAAGAAACGTCACAACTGAAAGGAGCAACGGCACCAAAGACCCGGTAAATTCTGATCAAAGACCAAATACAATGAAAAGTTTATGACAAGAATGTCTAATGCTGAGGGAGGATTGGTTTCTTCTCCAATGCCTCATAATTAAGGACAAAATTATCCTGCATGAGAAAAAAAACGGAAGATTACATACATAACACTCAATTCTTATGCATTTACATATCTAACAACTTCGATTTTTACATACATAACACCCAATTACGTATATCTAACAAAAAAAAAGTATATCCAGCATATAAAGCGCAAGCAACAGAATGCAAAATATGTAATGCTAGGGTAAATGTTCTTACCTTACGAATAGTTTGCCAAGTACTCGGATCAAAGTAATGGTATGATCCCCTTTCATATGTTTGAGTTTTAACAAGGGGTTCACCACTTCTTATTAACCATAACTGAAGCTCTCTGTGGTAGAACCATAACCGTGAATGTCTGCAATGCATGCGCTTTAGAGAAAAAAAAATAAAAAATAAAATAAAATAAAATAAAAAATCTATGATTAAAGACAAAGACATGATAACCACCAGAGAAGTGAGCATAATTAAAAGTGTTATATAGGTACACTGAATCGTTGATCTCAATGAGAATGATTTTCCTGTTTATGCAAATTTGAGACAGCAGTCACATAAGAACCCAAAAAAAGTAAATAAAAGGCATATTCTACTCAATTAAATGAACCATATGTCCAACTAACATTCAAATATTCATTTTGAAGCATCCAAATGCAACAACTTAAATTTTTCACAACTATAGTTAATATTCTTTTGGTTGCAATTTCTCCTATTACAATTGTTTGCCTAGGCAGCACATGTAAATAATATCTTAGCCAAAGAAAGATCCTCAAAGAGCATAGAGGTATAATTTTTTTTTCCTTTTTTTTTTTTAAGGCTTTCTAGATTACAAAAAGAAAAAGTAAACATGCATAAGTTGACGGTATCAAGATAAAGACAAACAGTTTACAGAAAGCACCTTGCACTAGGTTTCCAAGCATCAAATATACATATCATCATTAACACTAGATAACAAGCAATGATAAAATGAAAACCTGTGAATTTAGTTCATAGTAGTTAAGTATAATACAAAAGTTCCATGTTGAATCACAAAAATAACTTCTTTGAAAATACAAGAATAAGGATGTGCACCTCAAAACCTCACAGGCCATGCAGTAGCCAGGGCTCCAAACGTTGGGCAAGTGCTTTTAGCTTTTTAGGTGTAATTTATCACAAGAAGTGTGAACCTGGTGTAAATGAGTGAAAAACAAAGCAAATCACCCAATTCTCTTAGTGATAATCTTAAACCTTGCATTTTCTTCTTTTCGTATAATTGTATCCTTAGCATGCCCCGATTCAATCCCCAACTATATCAAGCTACCTTACAACATTGATGAAGTATATAGATGCCCTATGATAAAAGTAAATATTCCATCACGAAAAGAACAAGACTCAGTGTATGCTTTGCTTCTCTAGCATGGGAAGACTTCCAAAATATTCATTTAATTAGAGAGTGTTAATAAAAGGCAAGTTGAGTGTTTGCCTTGGAGCCTGGATAAGTAAGACCATGGTACCTTGTACACTTCTAGAGAGGGTGACATCACTCAGGCGCTGCCTAGTTGAGCTCCTTATGTTAAGGAAAGAAGAAATGAAGCATGTGTCACAACTTCATCAGAGAGACAAGTGTTAGTACATAAGAGGTCATATCGAGATTGGAGATATGAAAAAAGTATTATTAGTTGTAGAAATAAGGATGCACTTTCTAAAAGAAATTAGATAAACATATTTAGACAATCAAAAAGTTCTAAAAAATTGAAACTTGAGGGAAAAGAAGGTTGAGATCAAGGAGACCAAGGAAGAAATAAAGCGTTATTGTCATGAAGAAAAGAGGGTGCAAGAGGCGAACAAGCATAAATATTAATGATGACTAAATTATATCCGCCTTATACATACTAAAAGCTTAAGTTTTGCTTTTGTTATTTAAACTTAATTTTTGGTACATTTATTTTAAGCACATCTATATAGCAAGATTATGGAACCGGAATTCAACAAAAATTAAAATTTATATTCATCTGGAATAGTTAAATGCTACGTTTATCATTATTAGTGCAAACACATGTACTCAATGAGCCAGTGATTACAATGATTTAATAACAGAGATTATTTTAACATACAGATTCAATTTAATATTTCTTTGGACCTGTTGTTGGTTTTTCTTCCTCCTTGGAATTTCCTACTTCATATGTTTCTTAATTAGGTGATTTCTTTAGAGTTACATTAATGTTTTACTTTTGTGGTGGCAAATGTCCCTCCCTACAACTCATGTGTTGAGGATTATCACAATGTCCGCTCAATATGAATTAGGAGTGAATGAAACGAGTCATCAAGTTTTTGAATGGAAACTCCAAAAAAATGTATTTTTATGTAAAAAAGTAAGAAGCTTTGTTATAAATAACCATTTTCCATAAATATATCCAGACTAAAAAAATGGTTAGAAAAATAAAGATCCATCTCTTTCGTACTTTTGTTACCCATATAAGACAATGATCTAGGCTCTATCTTGGAGAGAAACTAAGGGTCCGTTTGGGGCAGCTATTGATTATTTATAATCTGCTAATAAGCAGCTAATAAGCAGATTCTGCTAATAAGCAGATTATTCTGATAATCTGATAATCTGCAGATTATCAGAATAAGTTGGTTTGTTGTTTGAGACAGCTTACTTGGAACTGTTGTTGAATAAATTATCATTCTGCTCCTGTTTGTTAAAAAGTAAAATTCATATGATAAAAGAACATTCATCAATAGTTCCAAAAAAAATCAAGAATATGCTTAAATTGTGATATAAAAAGCAACATTCATTTGCTTCAATTGTGAATCTCATCCTCCCAACAAATCAAATTGTGATGTAAAAAGTAACATATGATAAAAAAAAGGCAATAGAATCAATTTGCTTTTTTGATATGTTTTTTCCTCAAGCAAATACATAACTGTAGAATTAAAGATTATAAAACTGTAGAATTGAGAAGGAAGAAGTTGAAGAAACAACAATTACAATAAAGGGAAAAGAAAAAAGAGAAGGAGGATTTATCCTAGGGCAAGGGGGCTCGTGAACGCGGGACGCGGGGCTTTGCCCACGTCGAACCGGATGAAGGATTTATCCTACGCCAACGCGGTGCAGCAAAAATAAGTTTTGCGAACGCATTTATCAAACAGGGAGGCGGAAAACGCCGCTCCCAATAAGCTGCCCCAAACGGGCCTTAAGTGAAATCGAGCATACTTGTGAAGATGTGAAGTATCTGTATCTAGTGAATTCTAAACTGTATCCAAGCATCCCTCATGGGTTCTATACCTTATCCATAACTACAATAAACTTTTATGGACTTTCCTAAAATCCTAAAAATGATAGATGTCAAGATAGGAATAATGCTTCATATTATTAGGACTGCCTAGAAAATATCTTATTTGTGAAATAGAAATATAAAATTACTTCAAAATAGTACCAAATAAAAATATTTCTCTATAGTACAAAATCAAATGATTTTAGAAACTTAAATACCTAAAGAATTGAGAGAGAATTGATAAACATAACTTACCAGTAAATTTATAAAGAAAATACAAATTTTACATTTGAAAAAAGTCAAGTTTAATACAATTTGATTTCTTGTGAATATAAATGCCCATGAAAGATATTGAAAAAAAAAATCAATTTATACCATTCTAATATTTGTTGGATAGTGAATCCTATAATGATAGTGGAATTCTTCTTCCGGCATGCACCCTTAGTAAATCGCCATACTCATTGTTTGATGATCAAATAAAACAACAATATTAAGTTGACTTCTATTTAACAACTTTTGAGAAAATAGGTTGAATGTCATTTTCCTTTGCTTTCATTCCAGTAAATAATGGTCTACACAATCTATTTTAGGTAGCCTAATAATACATAATAATTTGTACAATATATTTTAGGTAACTTAATAATACATATTCCTAATCTAAATATTTAGCTATAAGGAAAGAATATGTACAATTAAAATAAAAAATTTAATTCAACAATTTAAAGAAGGAAACTCTTAATTCTGTCGATTTCAGTAATTCTTGATTGATATCCCTACTAAAATTGGTGATGACTAATCAAGAAGCATCGATTTGTCAACAAGGAACTAATGACACTGTTGAGAAAAGGCCTCAGTAAATATATCAACCATTTGAAGATCGAAAAGAGATATGAGGAAGAGAAATAACATCATTAGCATAAGCTTCTTAAATAGAACGACAATCCAATTCAATGTATTTTGTGCGCTCATTTCATTAAATATTTAGCATTCACTTCCAAAAGAGTATTGATAGGACGACCCTCTGGGAGCTCGGCCAAAGCAATGAGTTCCTTAGTATAGTAATGTTGGTGACTAAAAATACTAATGGGAGAAGAGTGAACCTCAAGACTTAAGAAATAGGTTAAATACCTCAAATCCTTCATACGAAAAGAACCCTAAAGATGCTTCTGTAACTAAGGCAATAATTGAGTATCAGATCCTGTGATAACAATATCGTCAACATAGAATAATAACAACATAATTCCCTTGTCAGTTTTGCACAGAAATAATGAAGAATCATACTAACTTTGAATAAAAGAGAAACAAAGAAGAGTATTGCAAAACGTTTCAAACCAGACCCGTGGAGCCTGTTTCAAACCGTATAGAGATCGTTTGAGCTTACAAACATCACGTGAGGGTGTAGAAAACAAGTCTGAAAGAGGAGTCATATAGATATCTCATTGAAGTCCCCATGCAAAAATGCATTCTTAACATCAGTTTGTTTTAAGGGCCAGTTTTTAGATGCAACAATAGATAGAACACGCCAGACAGTTGTCAAACTTAGCCCCAGGTACAAAGTCCTCTTCATAATCAATCTCATATTTCTGTCGATTGTCAAGAGCTAACAATTTTGCCTTACATATGTCAAGGGAGCCATCATATCGGAGCTTAAGAAAATAAACCCATTTACAACCAATAAGTTTAACAACAACAGAACATGAAATAATATCTCAAGTGCGGGTGTCTTGAAGGGCCTAAAAGTTCATCTTGCATGACTTTTATCCAAAAATTCTGTCTAGCAGCCTGAGAATAAGATGTATGAACTGTAGCATTAGATAAAAATGAAGAATAGTCTTATCTATCTAGAGGATGAATATGTCGAGTTGATCGTCGAAGAATCATTGGAGCATTTCAAATACAGGGTCGAGAAGGACTGGAAATGAAGGGGCTAGGCGTCGTGTGTAGACAAGGTCAGGCTTATATCGTTTATCAAAAGAAAAATCATCAAAGTGAGGAAGTATAGTAGTGTCAGATGTCGAAAGATGATGCTGAAAATAGCTCATCCCGAGAGATACTCATTCAAAGAAAATCTCATCCCAAGAGATACACCATCAATTATTAATCA